AATGATAATGTTTTGCCACAGCACAGTCTGAACTTATGTAGGGAATGTCCATTTCTGATGAATGCTGCTGTCACAGCATAGCAATCAAACTGGTAAAAACTATTGATCTAAGGTGCTTATACTTGGCTCATTACTGAAGTATCTGAATGCCTCACAGTCTTTAATGTATTTATCATCACGCTGTTCCTGCGAGGTAGGGAAGTGCTATTATTCCTCATTTACAGATGGGGAACTGAGGCACAGAAATACAACGGGACTTGCCCAAGCTCACAATAGATGTCTCTGCTGGAGCAGGGAACTGAATCCAGATCTTGTGAGTTCCCTAACCATTGGCCCACCCTTTTTCTCTGTTCCCTGGTTATACAGCTCTCTGATTTATGATTATATACACTTCACTACACTGTTACTTATGCAGTTTAGAAGGCTTAGACCCTTAGATAAACTTCACCTTATTTGGCTTGTGTCAGGGATAACAATATTTTTAAAGCAAGATGCATGTTAAAGTTAATTACTAGTGAGATTCAAGAGGACAAGCTGTATTTTTCTTAATTCATTTATTCTCCCCTGCCCCCAATTACGTGTACGTAATTAAGTCCAGAGGGGTTTTAGGAATGAGACACCATACATTTGCCTGCTTGTTTATAGGATTTTGGAATAAAAATGTAATAAGATGGATTATTAATTGTTCAAGAAGCAAAAACCCCAACCCTATTTGTAACCTTTTTAAAAATTTCATTGGGAAGGTGTGGGAGCCCTGGAGAATGATAACCTCTCTCCAGCTATAGAACAGCTAAAGTACGAGCAGGCGCAGTGTAACATTCCTCACTATGCTGTCAGCGTGCTTCAACTCTAAACTGGAGGGACACATCTAGGAGCAAGAGGCCAGCTAGGTTCCAGGCCTACTGAGGACTTGCTCCTAGAGTGTCTTCCTGTGAGTTGCTAAGGGCCCTCATCTCCCACTGAGTGGGAGACAAAGTTGCTTGGCGCCTCACAGGAGTCCTCAAAACCTTGCAGAATTGAGCCCTTCCATCCTGAGCTTCTCTAACAAGACTGCCAGCAATTGTGATATGGACACATCCTATGGAACCAAACTGAGGACACCATCTTATTTCAATAGGCTACTGAACAGATAGTAACAGCTTCTGGTCACTATTCATTACTGAACTGGATCAAATCTGAACTGGCAACAAAGAGATGAAAGGCTCCAGATTCTATCACTAATATTCTGAGACATCCAGGTTTCTATTCTTTAGGTCTTTTCTCCTTAGCATCACAACAGTCATTCCATCAATCAAAACTGTCCTTTTGAATTAGCAATAGATGATCCATAAAATAAGAAAAGTGAAATGACTTGTAACATATAATATAGCAAAAAAAAAAAAAATAACCAAACCCTTTATAGAAATTGCTGCACTCAAAGCTATTGTTGGCTTATTAAGTGGCTATTTTCACTGAGATGTAATTTTGTAAGAAATCTCTGCTTGACTTTAAACTATTTAGCTATATGTATTGTTGTTTTTGTTACATTTACTACTCACTGTTCGTTTAGTTATTCATTGAACTAGATTCTGTTCAAAGGAAGGATTTTTCTAATTGTACCAAAGAAACTTTTTGATGATATCAGAAATTAAATCTTAAGTTCCTGGTATGCAACTATTATTTTTTCTTGAAAAGCTATACAGCATGATTTGTGTGTCTGTATGCATTAGAAAGCACTAACACTGAATATCTTCCAGTTTAAACCCAACAAAATATATAATACATTTTTTGGACTACAGTGTGAAATTATTTGTGTGAAGGAAACGCATGAATGTTAAGTTTTGGTATTGAATTGAATGCAAAAAATAAGCCATTTGAAGAAATAACTTTGAAACAATACAGGGTCTGATGCTTGTTCTAGGGGGATTATGTCGATGTGTCTGTAAAACTATGCTACAGAAACAGCACTTTGTCTTATGATAGTGGGACATGAGCTTAATGAGCCTTATTTTTCTCCGATGTGCCTCAGTGAAAGCTTTGCTATTGACTTCAGTGGGAACAGTATCAGGCTGAATATGAATCATCAGAGGCCTGATCCAAAGCCCACTAGACTGCCACGGAGCTCAATTGGCTTGGAGCAGACCCGCCTAGTTGAACAAAGAAGGCTGTTTTATTGGTCTGTATTGCCGTTTGAATAGCAAATGCTAACTAATACAACAATTCTACTTGAGCACAGTGCCTCTCTGTCCTGAATAGACAAACAATACCCTCAGTCTGATACTATAGTCAGACAAAGAGAGTTTCAATGGAAACCCAAGAAAGAGCTAATTTTCTAAAATTGGAACATTATCTGTCATGTGTTACTGCTCTGTAATTATGACTGTTTTTCAGCTTTCACAGAAAAAAGATTTTTATAAGAGCCTTTTAATCTAAATGGGCAATTATATTAAAACACTGACTTCCACACTTAGATACTATTGTGTTTAGTATACATTTAGCAAATTATATGGCTTTGCTTCTTTAGTGGAAACTTAAAATATGATTACTACCTGCTTAAGTGTAGAACATGAATAGTCTTGAGAACATTCGTGTTTTTTATCATTAGTGATGCAATACTTTTGCCATGTATCTGAGATTGTGCACCAGAGATAATGCCTGTAGACAGTGGACGTCGGTGTGGTTTTGCAAAGAGAACAACAAATAAATAAATAAATAAATGACTCCTCTCCCATTATTAGAAAAAGAAAAGTGAGTTTAAGTTGATAGAAAGTGTTTTGTGGCCGGGTGGGTTGCTCTTCAGAGGGACATGCAGAAGCAGATGGATGGCTGGAAAAAAATCAAGCACAACTTGTTTTGAAATATCATAGGAAAAGTTTAGTGATCAGCTGAAAATATCCATAAGGTTTTCAGGCCATTGAAATACCAAAAGGTTCCAGAATCCTCTGCAGGAAACTGACCTATTTATACAGCACTTTTATTAAATAAAAATGAAATGGCCGCTCCACAGCTAAAAGTCATGGAGTCACTGTGGAGATCATGCTGATGTTCCACAGCTCTATGCCAGTGTAAGTGGAATTTTGTTCAGTAAATCTCTAGTTTGTGTATGAAGGGGTAGGAAGATAAATAGGTTTGGAAGTTCATCTTGAAATGATACAAGTTTAATAACTTTGAAAATAGAAATTTAGGACCCAGTTCAGGAAGAAACCCAACTTTTCAGTATGTGACTAGTCCCACTCAGCAAAATGGGACTACTCATGTGCATAAATCTCTGCACATACTTAAGGACCTTGCTGAATCAGTGAAATAGCATTGAAATGCTGCGGGACCCACTTATAGGAGCTTTTGTTATTTTTGTTAAATATTTGGGCCACGATGAGTTCAGAGGTTCCTGAAATTTGCCATATTGTTTAGGGACAGATTCTGCAATCTTTTCTTACACTGAGAAGTACCCTTCTCATTAAGTAGTCCTATGTCAATCATTTGCAGAGTAAATTATTACTCGATATGAGTAAAGATGGAGGAATCTAGCCTCTAGTTCTTACCTACAAATTAGACATTATTTGACATTCACTGACAAGTCAGGAACACCTTTGTTACTGTTAGTAACACTTTCTTCAGCCTCAAAGCTTCACAGCGAGATCAGATTGCTTATTGTTCTTGCTCTGATGAAATTAAATGTTTGGTGCCAGGGAAAGATTTGCCCTATACAGACATTTACTCTGAGATTTTCTGTTCTGGATGAAAATATTTTGTCCTCCTAAATTAATTTAGACAAATGAAGACATGGAGTTGGAAAAGAATTCCAAAAACTGGAAGTAGACAATCCTTTCTAATTAAATGAAGTTATTCACTTCTAGATTTAAGACAAGTAGAATTTAATTGACTGCGAGACCTAAAAATTGAATAAATATTTAAGTAAAAACTCAAATCTTTGAATGTCAATTCTCTTTGAGAACTCCACATTGGATTGACACAGCTGATTCTTTTTGTTAATTTCCATATCTTGTTGTTCTGTTGCAGAAGATTTTAATTACTGTGGACTCTATTCAACAGAAATTTGAAAGTGTCTTCCTTTCAGATAGGACTAAAGGACATTGTTCCTTACTTTGTCTAACTGGTAATCCAAAATTTGGCCATCTGTTGGGTGCTAGCAATTTTCCAGTCAATCCCAGGTGCGGGAAATGTCTTCTAGCTGAATGCTAGGAACTGTGTAGTCTCAGTGATTGCCAGTCTTTTATTTATCACTATTGAACAGAAAAATCTATCTTCTATGCACAGGGTGTATACGTTTTATGGGAACTAGATCCTCAGCTGATTTTTAAAATCATAACAACACTTTAGAAATTGGGATTACGATTAAATGTTGAGTTCCTCAGTATGGTTAATGCACCTGAAGGGCTACATCTTCAGATGATGTAAATCGGCATAACTCCACTTTCTTAATTTTCTTCAATGGAGCTATGCAGAATTACACCAGCTGAAAATGTAACCCTTTAATTGCACTAACCATATTGAGGAACTCAACATTTTAGAAATAAGCCATGGATTACTACTAAATGTTATTATGATTTTAAAAATTGTCAGTGAATACAGTTCTTTGTTAATTTAAACATATCCTTTTAGTATGGAAAACCCAGAGACAATATCACTGTTTGAATGCATGAGAATCAGGAAGAAACTGAGCAGTCTTTTTGTTGACCAAACTAAATTAATTGCAAAAAATAAACAAATATCATAAACAGTGAAAAGTGAATTTAGTTTGTAAAATATTTTAATGTTAATAATCTGAGGTGGTATTAATGACACATGTAAGGAAATATTTAAGAAAATATTATCTTGACAGTATTCTTTAACATTAATAATAATATCCATCTGCCATCAGAACTCATGAATCCAACTGAATTCAATGTGATGAATTGATTAGTGTGTTTTTACCATGAACAGTAGTGGAAAGGCTCCAAATTGCTCATATGCATTACTTAGGCCATACTAGAACTAAGGGAGTTCTACTTTACCTCTAGTGGGGAAAGTGCCTGTACTTTTGGAGGTGGAGGATGTTAATTCCATTCCTGCCATTGCCCCAATATGACAGCAGTGAAGATGCTACATGCCCACAGATTAGTTACACTGTAAGTATGGTACTTAAGTGATCATTTTATGTCATTATTTACTGTTGTGATTAATTTATATTTGGGTATAGTTTGTAATTCCATATTCCTGTGATCCTTGAAAGCAGTGAGAATCCTTCAATACGCTGCAAAGAAGTAGCAGATTGTGCTGTTGCTGAGCATAGACAACAGCTTGGGGTGATGTTCACTCTCTGTACAGAACAAAGTGTTACCCAAATCAGCAGCACTATAATAAATTAGAATACCACTGTGGGGAAAAACATCAATCCAATCCAATCACTGCAATCTGTTTCGTATATCAATGTATTGAGGCATGCAAACCAAAGTAATTATAAAACCAATAATTGGTCTATGGTGAAATCTGATGTAAGTAACATATGCTGAAAAAGTCATGAATGGCCTGAATTGTACTGATCACTCTTCTTCTACTATTTGCAAGAAGAAATATTTTCTTTATAATAAAATAACATTGCTTTCCATTAAGCATGTTCTACAATTGAAACAAACAGCCAGAAATAAGGGCTCACATGGATGTGCAGTGGAGAAAACTGTAACATTTTAGGAATTTCAAGTGTATGTGTCTGTATTTGATTCAGATACAAAAGGTTTTTTGTGTGTGATTAAATTATTGGGGAATGCTTGTTGTTATGGGATGCACTTTCTATTTCGTAACTGCAGAGTGGGGATGACAGATATACAGAAAATTTAAAAAAAAATCACACAGCCATGGTCATTTTGGCACTGTTTTGTAATCAATTATTTTTTTAAAAATCATAATCTGACATTTCTTAATGCTTTTAAACAATAGCTGTGTTGTAATAAGGCCAGCGATATCATATAATGATAAAAAAATGGACTTAGTTTGCCTTGTTTAACATTCTTTCCTATAAACTTTAATTGATTGACTGATTAATGTACAGTGAACAAGAGAAGCCTGTTCATTTAGCTGTTGGCAACATCCTTACAGGATTGGCTAAATGTCAGTGGGAGAGTTAAATAGTCAGGCTGACATTACTGTGAGAAAATTGCATTGTCAGGGATGGGTCTGAAAAAGCACATTCACTCTGCTGAATTGTTGCTATTGCAGTGCAGGCCAATGCATCTTTCTGATAGTTTTATCAATCTCCTTCTTTATATCACCCATACAATTTATACTAAAGGGACACTGTCTGGTCAATTTCAGCTCCAAACTCAGGGTTAAAAGCCAAGAGCAATAAAAATTATTTTATGAATATTTTTTGAAAAATCCAATAAGACTAGAGTCTTGGTTGGATTTAAATGTTCCCCGGCAATGTTTGCAAGCCTTGTATTGTACTAGCTTTTCACCAGCAGGTGAAACTAACTAGTTTTTTTTTCTAAGATGAGGGAAATGCAAAAAAGAAACTATCAACATTAATGATAAAATGTAAATTTGATTTTAATGATTAGTTAAGAAAGGATTATCTACTTTGCAGTTTTTGGAATTCTTTTCCAACTCCATGCCTTCATTTGTCTAAATTAATTTAGGAATGGCAAAACTTTTTAAATCCATTTTGGGTATTATTCAGTGGAAAAAATGGTGTGGGTTTAAGTATATATTGTGTGGGTTTAAGTATAAATTGAGATTGGATGTCTTTTTAAGAGATGTGATCTAGCTCATCCATAAATTATGTGCTTGATATGGCATAGGAATCACTTGGTGAAATTCTCTGGCCTGTGGCATGCAGGTCAGATTAAATGATCATAATTGTCCTGCCTACCCTTAAAATCAGTTACTCTGTATGTATGGGTGTTTAACTTGACCATGTCCTGTTAAAAGGGAGCTGTAGCTTAAGGTCCCACACTACCTGAATACGTTACTGAGCCACCAGGGGAGTGGGACATTTTTGCAGTACTCCTACACAATCCTGCAGCTAAACTCTGGGGTGCGAACCTGTTTATCTGAATAAGCAAGTGGGCCCTATTGATGCCCTCTGCTTCTGTAAATAGAGGGGTCCCAGATCGAGTGCGTATATACTGGGTTGTTTAAAGGCAGGGAGTGAGCATCTCTACATACTTCCCCATTCTGATGGAAGGCCCTTCTTGTAGTTGTACCACAGGAATTAGGCTCTGAGGTCAGAGGGGAATATCATGTCCCCTTAATCTGGAGGAATTTCCAGCATATGCCTTATATGAGAATCCCTCCTGCTCTGGATAAAACCCAGTCTGGCTTGTCTGGGCTTACAGAGACTACTTCGCTCCTCTAGGAGTCATGGGGTTGGAAGGGCGGGGTGAAGACAGCGAATCTGTGCATGTTTGAGGGCTGAATTTTCCAACCATTACTCGCCCTCAACTTTCCTATGCTTTTGTCTTCTTTTTCCCCCCTTTGTCTGCTTCTTCCCACATTTCCCGCCATTCTTGTTCCCTTCCTCGCTCTCACCTTCACCCCACCCCCACCGATGTATTTATTGTGACCTCTATTCACAGGATCCCAAAACAAGAGAGAATGGAACTGAAGGCTCCGTGAGAAGGTACACAATGTGCATCTTCTCTTTAGCAAGCTGCTTCTGAATTGAACCCCAAATCAGATGCTCGCCCACACCAGTTCTCCTTTTCCTCCATTTCAAAGCACTTGTTATTCTGAAGGAATTTTATCTTTTTCTTTAAATGACGACACTTTCCAAGGTGGCAGATTGTGTGGAGGCACAAAGGATTCACATTTTATCCATGATCCAAGGGGAGATCCAAACAAGGCTCTAACATTCACTAAACACGGTTTTTCATCTCAGCGTCTCATCTCTGGCATATGTCCTCTAGCAAAATCATTGGATCCTGTCACAGGCAGGCTCACCTTGAACTGATATATGGCTAAAGAGAATCAATGTGGAATGAATGAAAATGTTTACACTGTGACTTAAGCCTTTTATCACTTGTGTGTGCTTGGGGGATTGTCTTTTTTTTTTTTTTTTTTAAAAAGAGTGATTGGCACTGAATCTTCACTCACTCAAATTCAGAATACTACTAAAAATACAGATGAATATTTTCAAAAATAGAAGCCTAAAATTAGGAGCCTAAGGCTGGGATTTTCATAAGACCCCAAGGAGTTAGATGCCCATATCCCACTGATAAATTCAAGGCAGAAAATTGCAGCCTAAATCCATAGTTAGGCACCTAAATGACTTTTAAAGTCATCCTCCTATTTTTGAAAATCTTGGGCACAAGTATAAGCAGCACAGAGAATATTGGGCATATGATTTCATCTTTGCAGGCTGGAGTTATTATGCAGAGAGGGAAGATGAGGCAAAAGCAACAATAGCACTTATAGAAGCTATGCTTTCTGTGCAAACATCTACTCTTCTGACCTCATAGCGTGAGCCCACTTCTACCACTGTTTTTAGTGTAGATGTTTTTCCCTTAGAAAAAAAAAAAGACTGCCTTGATGGTGCATGCAGTTGGCTTTTGTAGGTTGAATAACAGTGTCTGCCTCTTGACATGCTCCACTAACTCCTTCTAAGTTTTGCTGCAATGGAGAATTTTGTTATGGCTTGTTCTGGGAGGGTACCCTAAAAGCTCAAGTTAGCCTCAAACTTCAAAGCTGTCAGTCTTCATTAGATCATGTCATTTTCCCTGGGGGGTTATTGTGAGTATTTGTGTTAATGTTAGGAGCTGCTAGATTCAGTGTGAACTTATCCACACTGGACTGTGCTGTTAATAACCTTTCTCTTTGCCTGCAGGGGGAAGGGGTCTCCATGTTTCTCTCTCTCTCTTTCCAGGGACAGAAAATTTTGCCTGTTTATTTGCATAGTCTTAGACTTTCCCTAAATTGATTGCTGAATGGTGTTAGATTCAAGGTGCCCACTTCATTCAGTGGGTTACTGATGGCAGGTGAACGGAGATTTCCAGACTATTATAATGGTGAGGTTCTCCAATATAAGTGTTATGTTCCTTGCATGGGAACAGACAGACCTGGACTGATTCACAATCTTTCTCTTGCTCTTTGGTCAGACAAGGGGTGGGCATGCTGGAAATCTGTGTTGGTTATCTGATTTGTGGTGCATTGGGGAGCTGCTACTTTTCTGTTGTGGCTGTCATCTTGTACCCTTGGACCTAAACTTTCATTTAAACCAATTAAGTCTCTAATTGCTATGGTTGTGGATGTAAGCAAAGTCAGGATGAGCTCCACCCTGACATCTGGTGGTGAGGTGTGGCAAGTTGTGGAAAAGAACTTCAGGGGCTGATCTCATTTGCATAGGCACACCCACCCCGCCTAGAATGAGGCCATAACTGCCCAAATGGTCACTTTGGCTGTTGTGGGATCCCCAGTGTCTCTGTTATTGGGGCGGGAAGAATAAATTGTTATTACCCTGATTATGGGAACTGTGCTTGGAACTGTACTTGGCCTTTTGTTATGATGGAGGGACTCACCATCAACTAAGTAGCACTCGCTAGGCAAGGGACATGTGTTCCAAAACTCTGTGAATTGAGAGAGGCTTGAGACAGGTATTAGTACCTGGTGGTGTGGACCCCTTTGTGAGGGCCTGAAATACCAATTGCACCTCTCTCCCCCTCCCCCTCCCCCTCCACTGTGGAATGTCAGAGCTAATTTTGGGTCTATTAAGAGTCTTGCTACAGGTACTGTGCTGAATTCACTTTGGCCTTATGGTGCACCAGCACTAAGGCTCCCACTTCTATGAGCTGAAATCACTGAGAGCTGGAATCACTGAGCACTGTGTCAAGTAGTGGGGAGCTGGAAGATGTAGAGTGCAGTGGTGCTGTTCGTGGATAGGCTGGCGGAGTGTTCGTGAGCTGTGCAGAGCGGAGCCGTTCGTGAGACAGTGGAGTGTTCGTGAGACGGCGAGGTGAGCTGTGCAGAGCGGAGCTGTTCGTGAGACGGTGGAGTGTTCGTGAGACGGCGAGGCGAGCTGTGCAGAGCAGAGCTGTTCGTGAGACGGTGGAGTGGAGTGTTCGTGAGATGGCAAACTGTGCAGAGCGGAGCCGGTTGTGGTGGAGCGGAGCCGTTCGTGAGACGGCGGAGCGGAGCAGAGCCCTGTGGGGCAGTCAGCTTCAGGACACGTAAGGTGCCCCTTACCTCTTTCCCCCACACACAGGCACATTTTAGCCAGACTGGGAAGTAACACTATGCAGATGAACTTTTGAACTCTGGGGCTGGACTTTTTGGACTTTGGGTGATTTGTGGATTGCTGGACTCAAGAGACATTTGGGTTCTGGGACTCAAGAACCCGAGGGAAAGGATGTGGCCCAATTTGCTGGGGTGGATCTTTGCTCATGGTTTGGTTAATGAACACAAGTTGTGGTGTTTCCCCAATTTAATGCTGATGTCATTTACCTCATGTTATTAAAGATTCTCTGAGACTCTGTGCTCGCGAGAGGGGAAGTATTGCCTCTTTGAGGCGCCCAGGGGGTGTGTAAGATTTTCCCAGGTCACTGGGTGGGGACTTGAGCCAGTTTTGCATTTGCTTTGATGAGAGGGAACCCCTGTGTACTGAATCCGGCCCTTGCTGCTATCAACTTGGCCTGGCAGAAGGGTTACATGAAGATATCCTTCAAGATAGAATGAAATGTAACCCAATGCACTGATGTATCCATTAATCTGCAGAATGCCCGAAACAATAGCTCTGAACTACTCCCATTCATCTCAGTAGTTAATTCTGAGGCCTAATAATGGCACCTGACAAAGGGCACATTGATAACTATTTCATTGCTGATCGGTGAGCAAACAAAAGAAATATATCAGTGGGATATACATTGTAAAAACTGCACAATCTACTGTGAATGCCATCTTACTTTGGGAAAAGAGATGGGCAAAGCTTCGGTTGTGTGAGAAGTCTGAAAGAGTACCATAACCTTTTTTCCCACTAGGGTCAGTATCGGGGTGGAGCCAGTTAATGATAGTGGATTAGGGTAAGGAGTGTGACCAACTTGTACACCTAGGTTGGGGCAGCGTGAGGTTTTGGGCTCAGACTGGTTTTAGGGCAAAAAGCTAAGACCACATCTACAAAAGGAGTGCTTTGATGATATAGCTGTACTGGTATACTACACTAGCAAAGTGCTCCTAGCGTGGCCACAGCTTGTACTGGCAAAACTGCCTTTTCCATATAGATTATACAGCACCCCAGAATGAAATACGCTATACCTGAAAAAGGGCAGCTCTACTGGTATAATCACATTTACTCCAGGGGCTTTTGCTGGCACAGTATGTCACTCTGGGATCACACCTCTTCTTACCCCTGACTGACATCGCTATCCTGACAAAAGTCTGTAGTGTAGATCTGGTCTAAGGGCTTGTCTGCATGAACAACTAGATCATAGCAAGCTAGGGTGTGAGTCTACCTCACACTGCTGTCGTCTAACTGTCCCTGCGTACTTGCTCACTGGTGTTAGCTCGTTGGAACACTTTGATCTTATCCTCTTTGAAATGTGACTTGCTCAAATGAACAGTTAACACATATCAGCAGGGTCCATGTGGGCAGTTGGACTGCGGCAGACTAGTGAGGGGCAGAGTCACACCCCAGCTTGCCATGGTCTAATTGTTCATGTAGACAAGTCCTAAGTGTCTAGATCTTCTGGTTGTAAAGAATCCTTTCAGAGTATGACCTGAATGTGCACCAGAGCAAAGCTGTCTGAAGACAATCTGAAACAATAGCTCTGACAGTGGTGTCAGTTGCCCCACACACTTTAATTGAATATTGACTCTGAATGACAATGCACATTACAACCCTTTCACATAAGAAAGGAAAGGTATGATTGACCAGTGAATAACTACACAATCTGTTATGAACAGTATTTCATTTTGATGACACAAAATGTGGGTAGATACTGGGAGAGCAACATCACCTTATCCACCTCCCAGTCTACACAGTCAGACCCCTTTATGAGACACATACCGGAATTTTTTTAAGCACAAATTTACTGCCAAATCCCATTGGCAAAAAATGGTAGAGAACATAGGAGTTTCCTTCCTTCTTTACAGGTTTCAGAGGAACAGCCGTGTTAGTCTGTATTCGCAAAAAGAAAAGGAGGACTGGTGGCACCTTAGAGACTAACCAATTGATTTGAGCATGAGCTTTCGTGAGCTCGATGAAGTGAGCTGTAGCTCACGAAAGCTCATGCTCAAATAAATTGGTTAGTCTCTAAGGTGCCAAAAGTACTGCTTTTCTTTTTGCGAATACAGCCTAACACGGCTGCTACTCTGAAACCTGTATTAAGGATTGTGACTTTAAGGGCTGAGCTTTCCAGACAGAAAGTCTGGGCCTTCTGCACTGAAGCTCTTGCTGTAAAACACAGGCAATTGGAACCAGGTATGAAATAAAGCAGATCTCTTGTAAGCACCTTTAAAAGTGAGTAATCAGTGAACAGCACAAGGTCATGGGAATGCATTTAATTGAATTTCTTTGAATTAAGGTATTGTGGGCCCAATCCCTCAGGTCTTTCCCATTCACTCTCATTGAGTCAATGGGAATTGTGGGTACACAAAATTCAGTCCCTTAGATCTTTTATTTATATATGTATTTAATCTTATTTCACAAAGACAGGTGTGTTAAGATTAAAAAAATCCTTTTTCAAAAACTATGATAAATATTGATGCAGTATTTCAAATAGCACAACTTCTCTCCTAGGACTAGACTTTTCCTGTACACATACTTTAATCAAAAAGTGATATGCATGCTACAAAGGGTAAGGAGGAATATTGATGTTAATGAATATGTTGGAACACTGGGCCTGGATCATGTTGCTTGCATGAATGGCTGACAATTTTTCAATTAGATGTCATTAAAATGTTTGATGCAAAGTCCTATTAGGCTTTATGAAATTTCCAATGAATTTCATTTACAAGGTTGACAGTAAAAAACAAAAAAAGAAATATGTCAGTTTCAATACCTTGTGGCTCAAAGCTTTTGTTTCTTATAAATGGACACGGTCCTTTAAACCCTGTGATTAATCTGATGGATCTTTTCAATTTTATCAGCCCCTTCTGTGACATTATTCTCTAATCTGTATGGCTCTAGCTTTCATTTAAAAAAACAACCCCAATGACAACCAGGTAATGCTGCTCAAAATTCTATTGCTAATCTCTGCTGCATAGACATTTTTCTATAATTGCTTTTCACCGTGTTTTTGTGCTACTTGTTTTGTGAAGTATCTATGGCATTATAGCTCCTGGATACCATAATCATGGGGTTTATAAGTTCATACAAATATTGTATTAGGAAAGAACAAATTGTTGATGGTTAGGATTTGTAAGAATCATCTGTCTTTCTTCCAGTTTTTGTTGCCACGTTAAATTGTGGCCTTGAGGAATGGGAACTCTAAATTCTTTACTGCTGCCTGAAAAGCATATTCAAGTAAGTTTTTTTTTTTTTTAAAATGCCCAAGTCCTTATTTTCCATGTCAGCAGTTGGCACCTTGATGAAGACAGCTGTCAACTCAAGACAAATCATATTTCTTTCAGAATGGCCAAGCAAATCTGACTTATGGAATATCATCAGTCTGTTGCCAGATCTGTCAGTATAAAGTTCAGATCATAATTAACTAGCACCAGTATAGTTAACTACCTGACAAAAAGACACATAATATGCCACAAAGAATGATTTTCTTTGGAAAATAAACTACACAAAGAGTTAATGTTGCTGACAGAACTGATACGGGCCCTTTAAAACCTGTCTTGATTTCACAAACATTATTGATCAATAGGACCCTGACCTTGAAATAAGCTGAAGTCTGAAACTGCTATGTCGCTATTTCTTGATAATTATCTCTCAATGTTACACAAGTTATAAACTGATTGACGTGGCTGTGACATACATATTTTTCCTGTATGAAGAGGAGTTGTTTTATATTCTTTCCAGGTGGATCCCAGTGATGAGAAAAACCTCCAGAAGCTTGAAGTCCAGGTTCTTAGCCAAAATTCATCTGAACATTTTAAGATCACCTCTCCTTCTGCCTTAGAACAGCCTTTAAAGGTTTGCTCTTCCTATTGCTGGCACTACTCTCCAGAGCAGTAGCACTGAGCTCACCATTGCCCTCTGACACCCAGGAGATTTTCAGTGTACAAATCACCAGACTCTGGGCCTGATTCTCCACTGCCTTAAATCTTGTGTGGTCATTTATACGTGTAGCATGCAGGAGTAAAATGCTACCACATGGAATGGATGGTGTTAGATTTCAGGTCCTCCTCTTCTTGTTGTCGTATGAGACTGTTTCAGCCATGGAATGATCTTCTCTGGAAAATAAGAGAATACTTGTTTGCAGTGAGAACGGCATGTTCTGGGATTGAATGAAGGCATCCTGGGTTTATGAAGTGATTTATGGGCTAGGAAAATGCAGACATGACTTCACATCCTCTGTGGCAGAGGAGACGGAGGCTCCCTTTGTGTCCTTCACAGGTGATGATGTGAGCTAACGCTATGGTGTCACACTGTGAGGTTTCTGTGGCACAGAAGCAATCATGTGACTCATCAGCGATATGATAGTGGAGGGTGAAGGGCTTATTGACCACAGATCTTGCACTGAGCAGCTAGGAAAGTGTAGCAGCGAGTGTTCTCCCGTATGCCCTAGGCAACTGTAGGAGGTATTGAGCCTTGCTGCAGAACAATGCATCCAGATTGCCTGCTGAACAAATGAATCTCCCTCTGCTCCCAACAGAGGCCAGAGCCTTAGAGGCACAAATGAACCCTATGTATATTTATAGGATATCAGATCGGCTTTGACAATTTGTAATTCATCACTCACCACAAATTTCATATAAATGTAATTAAAATCTAAATATGAGAAAAATGCTAATGTGATCACATATTGCTATATGATTTGGTAAGCAAGTAGATGAAAATACATGCACAGATTTTAGGCTTTATGATGTCCAACTGACCAAGTAGTGTAATTTAATTTCAGCTCATAGTTAGCTACTAAGAGGATAACAGAAGTCTGAAATACATAATCTCAAATTGCCTCTTGAACAGGACTTACTGCTTTTTTTCTATGAAGGAAGCTGTAAAATAAAAAAAAGTGATGGTTAAGTTATTCATGCTATGCAGTTCCAATTTGATAAAAAAATAAGCGTTATCATTTTCCCTATGTTATCATCTTAGCTCAGATGTGGGCTGCAAGCTAAATGAGGTTATAGTGCATATGGAAAACTTGCAAGCTTAATATGTATTTAGCATGCAATGGTTGCCTCTTAAAATGATTTCTGTTATGTCTGTTTTTGCCTTTACACTGCATACCATCGTGAGATCAGTTCAGAAATACCAAGAATCTATAGTTATGTTTCATTAATAGACTTGGAACCCTGCTGGTTCATTCCCTGCAGATTTGTTCAGCTTTGCTATGCCACCAAGCAAACACCCCCATCATGTTTCAAAGCTGTAACAGGCGAAGGGCTATGAGGATGGTTATGAAATGTAGAGCGTTTCACCCCCTCCCCGCTCCAGCTCAGTGTCCTGAGCTCAGCCCTGGTGGTTACTGTTTAGAGCAGTGACTACAGTAGATATTTCCCCCTGTCTGCACAAGTCCTCCAACCATTGCTCCAATCACCCGTCTTGCACTGGTGGCAAGTTTTAAGAAAAACTTCTTGTTGCAGAGGAGACCTGGCAGTCATCATCATCCAGTGGTGGTTCTATGGCCTGTGTGAAATGGCTCAGGGGACTCAGTCTAGTTCTTCATGGAGAGGAGTCTACAGACAAAATCTTTTCACTACTAGTAATAGTTGAGAACCTTGTTGTAGTGGTAGTTCTCAGTCAAAATTTTAGGTGTGATACTGTAATCGCTCACTTACTAGCTGTGTAAATGTGCAGCCTTTGAATTGGCTGTGTAAATGAGCCCTTTCTCTTACTGCTTGCTTCTTCACTGCCTGTGCACTCATCAGTTCAGGACACATCTGAAAGGGCCCTTTGGTTGGCTGCTGAAGCTGTTCAATGGGGTGCAGGTGACCCTTTGAAGTTCTGATGCTTCTGCTTTGGAGTCCCCTATGGGCAACCCAACTTAGCTCACTGGGATGAAGATAAATTCTCACTTTGAGTTTCTTTGTTTTCTTCGTGGGACAGTGCCTCCTGTGCCCTCCCTGCAGTAGTGCCACTGTCTGCCTGAACATTTTGGTGAAGAAGTCAGCGGTTGAATGGGCATAGGGTCAACTCTACAGCTCTCTTTCTGGTTACGGTTGAAGAACATTGCACAGTCGTGTGGAGAAGCTGGACAGGGCCAGGCTGTGCTATATCTGATCTCTTAAGAAATAGAGAATTTAAGATCTGAGTACTGACAATTGACACTGCTCATGGATATTACATTTAGAAAGAAAGGAGAAAGAAAATACTGCACGGACTGGCCTATTGAATACTGGAGGGTGGAATTAGTAATTGGTTTTCTAGAAGAACACAAGAAGGGCATACTCGGTCAGACCAATGGTCCATTTAACCCAGTATCCTGTCTTCTGATGGTAGTCAATGCCAGATGCTTCAAAGGGAATGAACAGAATAGGGCAATTTAATGAGCAATTCATCCGGTCCCAGCATCTGGCAGTCAGAGGCTTAGGGACACCCAGAGCATGGGGTTGGCTAATAGCCATTGATGGACCTGTCCTTCATGAACATATATAATTATTTTTGAACCCAATTATAGTCTTGGCCTTCGCAGCATCTCCTGGCAATGAGTTCCATGGGTTGACTATACATTGTGTGAAGAAGTACTTCCTTTTTATTGTTTGTTACAACCTGCTGCTTATTAATTTCATTGGGTGATCCCTGATTCTTGTCTTATATGAAGGCGCAATCAAAACTTCCTTATTCGCTTCCTCACTTTTATAGATCTCTAGTATATCCACCCTCACTTGTCTCTTTTCCAAGCTCAAGAGTCTCATTCCTTTAATCTCTCCTCACATGGAAGCTGTTCCGTAGCCTTAATAATTTTCTGTACCTTTGCCATTTCTAATATTGTTTTTTGAGATGGGGCGACCAGAACTGCATGCAGCGTTCAAGGTGTGGGTGTACCATGGATTTATATAGTGGCATTATGATATGCAACGTCTTATTCGCTATTGCTTTCCTAATGGTTCCTCACATTCTGTTAGTTCTCTGAAAAGGTCTGCTCAGTGTGCAGCGGCAGTCTAAAAAGCTGTCCACAATGACTCCAGAATCTCTATCTTGAGTAGTTACAGCTAATTTAGACCCCCATCATTTTGTATGTACATTTCTACGCATGGCTGTGTAAATAGTCCAGTGTAAAGACTGGACTATGTAAATGGCTGAATGGACAACTGATTAAGCAGTCTGTGCTCAGGCAATGGGCACATATTTTTATGACTCTAAATAACAAATAGTCAGAGCACCAACCCTTTATTTTCATCAGCTTAACTTTTGATAAACCTGATTCAGCTGAAGTTTTATGATTCAGACCAGAAAAGCTCAGTCACAATTCGAGCCTTGTTTTCACCACCATGAGGGGGACCATATTTCCCTATGCCGAATATGGGACACCTGGTAAAATTACTCGTATTCAAGTGAGTTCAACGGCAATCCATCAGAACTATGCAGTACAAACCTTCCAATTAACATACAGTTGACTGAACTCCGGTTAAAAATAAATCCTGCACAGTTGGATTCTTTTTATTTACCTTCTTATCTTTAAGGCTTTAGGGCTCACACGGGGAGGGGTGACACACACACACACTCCAGTACACCTCTTTTACACAGGGGGGTGACCGACCAACCCGACCCTCCCCTGGCCGGTGCTCTCCGCCCTCCATGAACCCGCCTCTCCTGGTACCTGGCACTATGTCTTTCCAAGGCAACATGTTGTGGGGCACACAAGGTCACCTGCCCCTCTCCCCCTTGCCAGATTTCTTCCAGGATTCACACCACAATGTGGCCAGCAGCAGCCTTTTGGCACTGTGTGGGAGGGAAGGGACGGGAGCTGCTTCCAGCTGTGGGGGGAAGTGGGAGGGATGACCTGGCCTGTGTCTTTGCAGAACTCATCTCCTCCCCACCCCCACCCCTGCACCCCTCTCCCCTGGGGCTGGAAGCAGATGGTCCTTTCCTGCCCGCACAGTGTCGAAAGGCAGCTAACACCTCCAGGCTGCTGCTGGCCATGGACATAACCCAGCCACCTCCTGTCCCCTGGCTACAGCGTGGACAGGAAGGGATTAAGCTATAAGGATGCGTTGTGCACCAGGGCCCAGGTAACCTGACTGCAGGGGCTTCAGTGAACCAGCCAGGGAGGTGGCTCAGCACAGGAGGGTGCCTAGGGGACAGAGCAGCCCCGCACTCCCTGGGGGCAGGACCCAGGGTGGGGCGTGTGAAGAGGATGTTAAGTCTTTGTCCGGGGGCTGCTGTGGAGCCTGCATTGCTGGGGTGAGAACAGGCTGGAAATTGCTTCTTCTCTGTCCCCTACCACTCCAGAGCTTAGTTGAGGGGGCGGAGAGTCTTCTCTGTGCCAGCACTATGTGGGGCTTTGGCACATGCCGGGCTTGGCTCCTCCTAGCCAGCTCCTCCAGGCCAGGCTATTGGTGATCTGAGTGCTCTGGCCAGGGGCTGGTTCTCCGCACAGTGCTGGGAGTGGGACGTGCCCCGCTGGAGGGGATACAGAGTAGACAGAAAATATGGGACAATTTGCCAGTTTTTAAGAAAAAGTTGGGACACCTGCAGGAGGGCTTAAATAGGAGACTGTCCCTTTAAAAGTGGGACGTCTGGCCCTAACCAACATAATAATTGCTGTTTCACCAAATAAACCTTCATCCCTTTATCTAACTTGATTCACTTGCAGGGTTTCAGTCTGTTTGTTCTCATAAATATTAGACTGGAAACCCTATATTCAAAAGTGCAAACACATCAAATAAAAATCCATGGTCAGTAGCAGAATAGAACAGTTTTCATTGGAGCACCTCTTGGTAATAGACAGACTTTTCCCTTCTCTCGCTCTCTATCGGGAGATACATTTTGAAAGTAGTGCAGGTGAATTTAGCTGCATATTTCTGATTGATTTTAAATGGAATCATTTAGCTAAATGCCTCTCCTCAATAGAACACACAGATCATTAGTGTCCAGACTCTCACTTTTCTGGGGTTTGGCGTCACTGGTAACTCAAATAATAGTGCAACATAAAGCTTACCCTAAGCTTCCTCCCTGATCTTGGCTGTCTCTAGTGTTTTCTTCTAGCACTTTCTGTCCTAGCTCCCTTGTTTCTTCTACCCGCCACCACTCGTATCTCCGCTAACATTAATAATGAGTTTAACAGCTTTATGCTACAGTTATGCAAACACTTGATTACAGGTTGGGTTGAGCCCCAACATCCTGTTGCATTCCTTCCTTCTCCAGAGCAACACCCACAAGCATGCTCACCTTTCTGTTCCTCAGTGCAGTCCAGGTGGAGCCCAGTTCCAAAAGATGCATAGAATTGGTCCAAGGTGCCCCTTGGCATTCTGTAGAGCCCAGGAAGGCCGGAAAGTGCTCCTAGTCATTCCCCATGGTATTGTGGCACCTTATACCATACAGTTCTGGGTAATGAGTCGGACAAATCCTCAGCATTAGCTCACATGGCCCCTTGCTCACAGGAGGGTTATAGCTGAGCAATATAGCTCCAGGGACATAGGGAGCCTGGACAGATTCTGCTGTCGGTGGTAGTGGAGCTTTGAATAAGCTCTCTCCGGACAGACCCATAATGCTTTAGCTCAGACATTGTTTTCTCTCCTAATTGCATGGCTACAGTACATGGTTTGTGAACTCGGGACTCTCTGTCCTAGCCCACAGATCTCCCCATAGTCACACTTTATACGGGGACAAAATTTCTTCATGGGCCCAAATTGCCCCCTATGAAAAACAGGAGTGATGGTTCCACTTCTAGTTTAGGAGAGTGTCTTTATGGCTTCCCTTGTGACGTATCCAGTTCCCTTCATTATTTGCCACATCGGTTCTCTGCTTTTTAACAGATTGTCCTTCAGGTTCAGGATGTAACTGTGGCCATGGTCATTGCTCTGACAGCCCAGATAGTCCTCTGGCTGCCACACAGCCTGGATGTCTGGGACCAGC